CACACACACACACACACTCTCATGCATAACGTCCTCCCCACGCAGAATTTCTTTGTGCTGAGCTAAAAACTAAATGACGCCCTTGAGAGTTTTGCTGTCACAAACAAAGCGAAGCAATAATTCCTGATTGTTTACTCGGAGGAGTCCCAGCAGACGGGAGCTCTGCTATCTGGACATGTTCATCATGGATGTGCCTGAGTGTCCGTACAGGGCTCTCCTCCGCCGCCATCACACTGGTTGCTATGAAGACAGGCCACTTCTCAGACCTCGACGGGAGCAAGCAGTTCACGTTCAGTGTGGAGATCAGTGCTAGAACCAACATGGTAATGATGTTTGACTAGAAGACATTTGCCAAAATGTCCTGACTTCCCCTCCATCCTGAAATATCCTGGACGGTATGAGAACCACAGTTTGACATCACAGCCTCCAGCTCACGTCCAGCCTCCCTCCAGCAGGTCGGGATGAGCACCAACACAAACATGGTTTGGCCAGTACCGGCTTGCTTTGGTGCCTGAGCCGCCCACATCCACGTCCCCATGAGCAGCGTGATGGAGACGTTCCCACAGATCTCCGCTGACGGCTCGTCCCGTGGACAGACAACCAGAGTGGGTTTCCTCCGTCGAGTGTCTCTGGAGCTCACTGGACTGCAATGACAAACCTTTTTGTTGTGTTTGGCTCTTTTCAAAGGCCTGTTATTACATTTATGAACCTTTTTTATGTGATATTACTTTCAAACAAGCTGCCATGATGCCAGACCTCCACAGGAGCATTACTGTGACTAACGGGACTCATGATGCTGATATTGTCCCAGAATCTCAAGAAAATTTAAAAAGAAAAAATAATGTTATTTGTCGTATTCGTCTTTAATTTTGTTCATGATGTGTTTTGTCTCTTTTTTGTACATACTTTACAATCAAAGTGCAGGGAGGTGGACAGAGAGCCTTTAAACCTACAACAGGTTATTTATGCTGTCTTCATATGTGTAGTGTTGTTATAATGTTATAATATAGTTTCCTAGACGCCGTCACATCGCTGCATCACACAGCCGTCGTTTGGAGCACTTGGTGATGAGCGTGAGGCCTTCGGTTCTGTTAAAGTCTCTTTGACTCTTTAAACAACACAAGAAAGTCTGAGTGCTGATGCTGTTGTTTCTGATGAAGTCTTAGGTAGAGGCTCCAGAGCATCCTCTGCTCACTTTGTTTCAGTGTGACGTTAAAGGCAGAACATGACAGAAGAAGGTCGGAGCTGAAGGAAGCAGAAGCAGCAGAACCATGGCGTGAGCTGGGCTGTGATCGGGGGATGTGACTGATGTCTGAGGCGTTGCTACATGAAGCTGTTGATGAGCTGAAGGTGTGTAACGCTGACAGAGCTGAGAGCTGCATCAGTAGGACCTCCGTCACCTCCACGCAGAGCGTCTCCATCAGCACACCGTAGGAGTGAGAATCAGTGATGTTTAAAGCACTTTAAAGAAGGTCAAAATTCTTAGTGCAAAGCTTGACAATAAATACTAAACATGTCCGGACATGAGTCTTTGCATTTGAGCTGAGCAGTGTGGCGTATGCAGCACTTCCACAGGGGTACAGCGCCATCTGCTGGCTCAGTAGCTGTGATCAGCTCATCTCCCTTCATAGAAGACTGTTGCACAAGACTAGACTAGACAGTATGTTCATTTACAGATTTCATTTTGTCAACGGCAGACAGAAACACAAGCTGAAGTTATCTTAGTTCATATGTGGTAATAGTTCTAATATTAAGTTAAAGCTGCGACAGTCAGCTGTGGACGTCTTTATCTTTGCATCGACTGCTCTGGAGCTGGATGAAGCTCGTCATCCATCTGCTGATCAGACCGAGCTGTCTCTGACCTCAGCTCTGAGTCAGGCCAGTGAAAGAGAACGCCCCCATCTGGCTCAATAAGGCTATTGTTGTTGTCACGTCTTCATCACTGATGGAATGACTTGACGGGGAGCCGTCTCGTTCCTATGAGAAGTTTTAAACCTGCTGATTCAGGGTCAGGTTCTGGTTTCTGAACACAGTTGGCTGATGGCTGTGGTGGAGGCAGGATGCTACTCCTCCATCCATCATCTCTACACCTTCATCCTCACCAGGGTCATGGGGGGCGGAGTCTATCCCAGCTGACTCAGGGTGAAGGCAGGTTCACCTGGACAGGTAACCAGTCTATCACAGGGCTACACTTAGAGACAGACAACCAAGCACACTCACATTCACACCTACGGACAATTTACAATCACCAATTAACCTCAGCATGTTTCTGGACTGTGGGAGGAAGCCGGAGAACCCGGAGAGAACCCACGCTGCACGGGGAGAACATGGAGACTCCACGCAGGAAGATCCCGGGTGTCCTCACCGGGACGCCAACCGGCGACCTTCTAGCTGTGAGGCGCTAACGGTGCTAACCACTGATGCTATTCAGATTGAGAGCTAGTTTGTTTTAGAGGCTTCACATCTCCACAGCATGGCACGTTATGTCCTGTAACATTCAGCTAAGTTCAAACTGTCAGTAGAAGGTTTGGCGGTTACCTCCGGTACGTCAGACCTTGACCCTCGGGGGGCAGGAGGTCAGACCAGGGCCTGGGGCTACTTGTTGTGCAGCCCTAGCTGCTACTGAGCAGGTTTAGCAGTAAAGCAGGATGGTTGTGCCGTTGCCGTGGCGATGACGGGGGTGTAGATTAGACTGGAACGTGTATCATCCTCAGGTCTGATCAACACACAGATAGATTGTGCTTTTATTGTGACTGGAACGTGTTTTTATGTCTCACACTGAAGTCTTTCCATTCTTAGCAGCGACATGCGGTAGATGTGCTTTATCAGCTGAAGGGCTGCTGCTGCAGATCAGGGGGAATAAAGTTTTAAAGTTTTAAACATCAGGATGTGCAGGTTTTAGCCTTTTGTCTTCTCAAACAAAAGCTGCAGGCGTCAGCATGAATCTCAATATTGGACCACATCTTTATTAACTTTTATCTGTACAGAAAAAAGAAAAACATCAGTCACCACCACCATCATGCGAAGCAGTTTTACAAATAAAAACACACTACAAAACAATATATATACTGTACCATAAATATGGAGCCTCAAAAATAAATAAATCAATCGATATATATTACAAAAAATAAACTTCTGAGATGACACTTACATACAAACACGGTATGGTTTAGTTTACTGGTACTGGGGATGCAGAGCAGGTCTGTGCTGCTGCTGCATTGAACTGAACGTGAGCGGTGAAGGTTTGTGGCTTTGTTCCAGGTTCTGTTGAATTCTGTCCACTTATTGAGATAATTAATGACAAACCCCAACACTTTCACATGGGATGTTAATCAGACACACAGCTGCAGATAAAGAACAACCTGGAGAGTCACCACCGAAAGGAATCTTAAAGGGAATGTAAGAATAAGGAGTTGAACAGATACACAGATCCCGTATGTATGCTCATAGCTATAATATAATAGGGTGACAGCGCTCAACAGTCATGTCGAGGTGTTATTGCACTACTGTCTCAACGTCTTTTCATGAGAATAATCAACAAATTACAATACTGTTGGTAGATCTACACAGAGGTGAAACAAGAAATCACCAGTCACAGCTACAGACACCAGTTACTGGTTGAAATGCATTCGTTCAGTCACCAACCAGCAGCATCAGCACCGCCTGAGCAGCTCAACGAATACGCTTCAAGCTGTAACTGGCCCAGGTCTGCACAGCCAGCAAACAGAGCTGTGAGTCGAAAACATGTTCACAATAAGGCTACAACATCTAGAGAGAGAGACGGAGAGGCAACGGAGGGCCAAACTCAACACGATAGAGCTCCATCTGCTGCACAAGTCACAGCGAGCCACTTGGAGGAGCCATGCACAACACAGATGAAGGAACACACCAACGTCCTCACACAGCGATGAAGCTTCAAGGCTGGTAGACAGAAGAAGGGCGGCGGAGACGAGCCCCGAGGACCAGAGACACGACGGTGGTCTACACAGGAACAAACCCTCACCACAAGCAGGACGGCTTTTCTTCTTTTACTCAGTTACTCACCAACACTGATTCACTGGAGGGGAAACCATCAAATATCAAATAATGTCAATAGTGTTTAAAACCGTATAGAAATCCAGCCGCTGAAGGAAAGAGTTATGTCACTGACAAAAGCTAATTGAAAAGTGCTGCTGGATTTTTATTTTATTTTTTTGTCTATTATTGGCTTATTTCCCTTTATAATGATATAGTTTATATTTATGTACTGTATATATATATACTGTATGTACATTCCTGCTGTAGTCTCCAATATCGTACTTTCCATATACTTCAGAATGTGTTCCTTAAGTGTGCTCTGGGAAAAATAAATATTCTATATTTGTTTTATTCTATTCTATTCTATTCTATTCTATTCTACTCTATTCTACATCAATGACGTAACTCCTTCAGACCATCGCTGGGACACAGCTCCATTCACTGAACATCCGACCAGCAGCCTCACTGTTACTCACACAGAGAAGCTGAACGTGGAGCCGAGGAGGGACGAGGACGGAGGGAATACAGTACAGTTAACACACAAACTTTAATCTCAGACTGGTTCACATTTAATGTCAATCAAGTCATCGCTGGCCGACGGAGCGGCCAGAACCAACACGGGCTGACTTCGGCTGTGTCTAGTCAGAGAAAAGGCTGGCGAAGGACTTTCGGAGGTTGCGAATGGTCTCGGCCTTCGCCTCGTCCTGGCCGTCGCCTCCGGAGCTCGAGACCCCGCGGAAGAAAGAGGAGTCGCTGAAGGCGTTGAAGGCATTGGTCAGGGACTGGGACTTACTGGGAAGGGAATGGTGAGGGAAAGGAAAGGGAGGAGCACGAGTTGGTGAGAAGGGGAAGGAATTATGGGATAGAAGAGGAATAAAAGCGGGAAGGGAAAAGAGGGGTGTGCGAATTGAGCGAGTGAGGAGCAAAGACAAACAGGGAGAGTGTGAGAGGGCCAGAAAGTCACACACACACAATGTGTCAATATTAAGATGCTGAAAGCTGAACTCTGATATCTGAGGTTTCCATGATGAAGTGTGGAAGCTAATTATGATCCTACTGCAGAATAACGACCGACTTCGTGCGGCCCATAAATGCATGTGGTTGCATTATCAACGGTGGGTTGATAATAAGCTCTTACTTCAGCAGAGGGTGGGTCTTCTGCTGGGCCTGCTCTTCCACACCGGCCGGGGCCTCAGCCGCCGCCTCGGCCGCCGCTTCGCCCGCCGCCACAGGCTCAGGGTTTGCGGAGGGAGAAGCCGGCTTGGCCTGAGGCTGAGCCTTAGCTGGAGACTGGGGGTTAGGCGGGGACTGGACCTGCGCCGGGGCCGGAGCTGAGGCAGTATCTGAAGCCTGAGCGGGGGCCGGGGCTTGGGCAGCGGGCTGGGGTTTGGGTTTTAGAGGAGGTGTGGTTTGTGGCTTTGGCTGGAGCTGCGGTTTAGAATTTCTGCGCACAGGAGGGATGGGCTTTGCGGGTGGTGTGGGTTTGGGGGGCAGATCTTTTGGTTTGCCGGGTGCTAGGGACGGGGAGCCCTGAGGCTGGGGCTTGGGCTGCTCTGTGGTAGCAGCGGTAGCAGGGGTTGGGGCGGAGGCCGGCGCTGGAGCCGAGACTGAAGGGGAGCCTGGACCTGCAGCTGCTCTGGTCGAGGGGGATCCTGGACCTGCAGCTGCTGGTTTGGTCGGGGGGGAACCTGGACCTGCTGCTGCTTTGGTCGGGGGGGAACCTGGACCTGCTGCTGCTTTGGTCGGGGGGGAACCTGGACCTGCTGCTGCTCTAGCCGGGGACGATGGTGAAGCTTTGGCTGAGCTGGAAGCAGAATCTGGGGCGGACTTTGTGACAGACGGGGCTCTTGTCATCGGGGGAGGCCTCGGCACTGGAGGCTTTGTGACGGAAGCGGCCTTCTGGACTGGGCTTGGTTTCTGGGCCTGAGCTGGTTTCTGAGCTGGACCTGGACCAGGTTTCTGGGCCTGGCTGGGCTTTGGTACTGGTTCAGATGCTCTCTTAGCGGATTCTGATGATGTGTCCACACTCTGTGATTTCACTGGTGCACCTAGAAGATGGAGATATGAGACGGGCATGTTAAACCACAGGTCCACCGTAACAGGACCACAAATGCAAAAAAAAAAAAAAAAAAGAAAAAAAAAAAAAAAAAAGAAGCAAAATGCAGAAACGAGAACAGCTTCAGGAAAGTAAATAAATAAGCATCTTATTTTTTATTTTCAATCGAGCTCCTGTTGTTTGGGTGCAGCAGTTAGAAAACACTCTCCAAAGACCAAAGCAGAACATGACACGCTATGAGCTGGACTTCAGACATGCCCGTTCACATCATGACTCTCACATTCAGAGAAATCCTGTCTGACTGAGCTCAGAACACACTGAGGTGAAGCTGTGATGCCAGCAGGGGGCAGCAGATCAGCAGCTAGGAGAAGGTGAGGTGACTAGCTGGTCATGCCAGGTGCTGGCTGCTGCTATGCACTACAGCTCCTACCACCAGCTAAAGACAG